TACCCACTCCCACTCATCTCTGACCTCTTAGATTCACCAAGCCAAGCCAAGATCTATACAAAAATTGACCTTCAGCATGCCTACTATCTTGTCCAGATTGCCCCAGGCAATGAATGGAAGACTGTGTTTCAAACTCAGTATGGGTCTTATGAGTGGTTAGTAATGCCTTTTGGCCTCACCAATGCCCCAGCCACCTTCCAACACTTCATGAATACCATCTTCATGGACATGTTGGATGTTTGCATAGTCATCTACCTTGATGACATTCTGATCTACTCTGGAGATAAGGAGTCCCACAAGCAGCATGTCCAAGAAGTTCTCCACCAGCTTTGGCTTCATGGCCTCTATGCAAAGCCAGAGAAATGTGAGTTCCACTTGGACTCGGTTGAATACCTCAGTTTCCACCTCTCCCCTGCCAGCCTCATGATGTTGAAGGAAAAGGTCCAAACCATTTGTGACTGGCCTGAGCCTTGCAAGGTCAAGGATGTCCAGTCTTTCCTCAGCTTTGCAAACTTTTATTGCCAATTTATCTTTAACCACTTGGACATTGTTGTACCTTTAACCCAGCTTACTCACAACAGTGCCCCTTGGAGCTTTTCCAAGGAGTGCTGCTGGTCTTTCAACAACCTCAAGGCTGCCTTCACAACTGTGCTGGTCTTAACTCACTTCATCCCCAGGGTCCCATCACCATGAAGACCAATGCATCAGACTATGCCATCACCAGCATCCTGTCCATTACTTGCAGTGACAGCTGGATTCATCCAGTTGCCTTCTTCTCCCAGACTCTGATTGCCCCAGAGTTGAATTATGATACCCACGATAAGGAATTGCTTGCTATTTTTGAAGCATTCCAGACCTGGCACCATTACCTTGAGGGCTCAGCCTCACCAGTCGATGTTGTTACTGACCACAAGAATCTTGAGTACTTTTCTACCTCTAAGGTACTCACTCACTGGTCTGAATTCCTCTCACAGTTTAATATGATCATCAGGTTCAGGCCTGGTAAGCTCAGGGCCAAGCCTGATGCCCTAACTAGATGATGGGACATCTACCCCAAAGAGGGGGGTAGCAGCGATGCCCAAGTGAACCTGCAGAACCTGAGACTGGTCTTCACCCAGGAGCAACTAGTGGTCTCCCTTTGTGCCACTTACCTTGAGTACCTGGTCTTATGGGCAGTTGTGCTAATGGATATAGAAAAGCTCCATAATGATATCCTGACTGCACTACTGGATGACCTGGTCTCACAAATCTGCCTGTCCAACATGTCTGACCCTCAGTGGTGAGTAGATGACACTGGTTTCCTTCATCTTGATGGAAGGATCTATGTGCCAGACTCAAATAATCTCCACCTTAGGGTCTTGCAGCTTAAGCATGACCACCCTCTGTCTGGCCACTTCAGCCAAAACTGCACTTTAGAACTCATCTGACATGAGTACACCTGGCCCAGCCTCAGGACCTTCATCAAAGACTACATATGGTCTTGTATGGCCTGCACTCAGGCTAAGGTTCCCCACCATCAGCCTTACAGCCTTCTCAAATAACTTCCAGTGCCAGAGAAACCATGGAATTCCATATCTATGGATTTCATTGAGCAGCTCCTGGCCTCATCTGGCTTCACAGCCATCCTTGTAGTAGTTGACTGGCTTTCCAAGCAGGCCATCTTCATCCCCACCCATGACACCATCATGGCCCCAGAACTTGCCAAACTCTTCCTGCTCCATGTCTTTTCAAAGCACAGAGTACTGGCCCATGTAACCTCAGACAGAGGCTTGGAGTTCATGTCTCACTTCTTCCAGTCACTCAGTAAGGCCTTGGATATGTGCTTACACTTCACCTTGGGCTACCACCCCAAGGGCAATGGCCAGACCAAGAGGCCCAACCAGACACTGGAACAGTACCTCCAAGTCTACTGTAACTACCAACAGGACAACTGGGCTGACCTACTACCTTTGGCCAAGTTTGCTTACAACAATGCCCCTAGCACTACTACCAGTGTCTCTCCATTCTTCACTAAGAAGGGTTACCACCCTAACATCTCAGTATACCCAGAGTGCAATCTTACCTCTGCTCAGGCTCATGATTATGCAGTTGACTTAGACTCACTGCACCAATACCTACATGAGGAGATGACCCTTGCCCAACAACGATACCAAGACTTGGCCAATGCTAAGCACATGCCAGCTCTGGACTTCAAGGTTGGTGACCAGGTATATGTCAAAGCCAAGTACTTCTGGTCAACCTGGCCGTCCAAGAAGCTCTCAGAGAAGAACCTTGGACCATACCCAGTCATAGCTCAGGCCAGCACACACTCATTCACACTGTGCCTGCCAGACTCAATGCACACAGTACATCTGGTCTTCCACATTTCCCAGCTTGAGCTGGCCATCCCTAATACCATCCCAAATCAGATTCAACCACCACCCCCACCAGTTGAGGTTGATGGTGAACTAGAGTTTGAGGTAACCAAAATCCTCAACTCCAAGGTCAACCAGCATTGCCAGTGTTGGCTTCAGTACTTAGTCCAGTGGACTGGCTATGAAGGGACCAATGAGGAAACTACTTGGGTACTAGCTACAGAGCTGGACAATGCTTCTGAACTCAGGCAAGAGTTCCACTTCTGCTACCCTGGAAAACCCAGCCCATACCAATGAGGACTGGTCTCAACTGGCCTCAGTTTCTTTTCTGTCCTCTATCAGTATATAGTTTTCCTTTGATTCCTTACTTACCTTGTTTTCCTCTTTTCTTGACCCTCCTACTTACTGTATGATACCAAGCCCAGACACCAGGCACTTGACATTGGCAAAAGAAAAAAAAACTACAAGCCCCTATGCTAATGTACTACTTGGCCTCAGCCATAGTCTTGTCCTCTCCTTCAGCCTCCTCCCCCTCATCCTTGCCATAGGCTCTCAGCCAGTCAGCCTACTTGTGCAACTTGTCAGAGTCAAGCTTGGATCAGCCTGAGTCCGAAGGGGATACTGCCACCCCGAAACCATAGGATTCATCAAGTATTGACTCAAGGGTGTCAGCAATTCAGCCCAAGTTCTTGACAGCAGTCTCATGAAGTTCGAAAAGGCTGGCCAGGTTGTTGGAAATCAGCCCTGCAGCCTTGATCAGTCGCTCGAGCTTGTCCTCCAAGCCCGAGTATCTGGCTGCATCAGCCTCTTTCACCCCACTCCCACTGGCCTTGGGTTCATTGAGGTCCAAGACCTTGATTGGCCTTGTACTCATCTTTGCCCATTTCTGGTTGCTGGGTCTGGCCTCAGCATTCCCTTTGTTGACTTTCACATCCTTCCTGTCCCTGGACCACCAACACTTCCCCTTCAACTGATGGCATCACATGCAGGCAATGCACTTCTTGTTACTGTCCATGAGAAATTTGCAGACAATTTTAGCCTGGGCAGAGCAGGTACAGCTAAAAAGTGGGTTAAGAGGAGAGCACACAAGGATGAAAAGGACACTCACCTGGGGTCCATCACTACTTTCTTCACTTCACCCCCAGCCTCACTATCCTTCCCAGCCTCAGCCTTATGTTTTTGCTGAGCCTCCTTTTCCTCCTCAGCCCCACACCTCCTCTCCTCCTCGCATGCCCTCTCCTCTTCAGCCTCATGCACTGCCTTCTCAGCCTTGGCCTTCTCCTTCTCTGCTCTCTCAGCCTCAAGCTGCACCTGCTCTTCCTGCCAGGCTTGCTCAGCCACCTTTCACCTTTTTCTCTCTTTCACCTTCACCTTCATCACCTCCTCTTCATCATCAGTGTCATACCTGATGTCATTGTCAGGGACTTGGGCCCAGTCAACAATGACTTGGCCTTCATTGTTGTTGTCAGCAGCAGTGATCAGTCTCGAGTTGGACATGGTGGATAAGGTGTGGGCAGAAAGATGCAAAGGGTTTAGTGAGCCACAAGTATCAATCTTTTTCAAACTCAGCCAAAGTTTGGACTCAGCCTACCTCTTCCACAGGGGTCTCATGGGATTGACCCCTAAGAGGGGGATACTGTCATAGTCATGTCTTGGTCTTGCACTTGTTCAGTCTGGCCTCAGCCTTGCCAATCCCTTATCTCCAGATAGTCTAGCATGATGTACACTACTTTGCAGTGCATGTCACTTTGGCTGATCCCTGCCCAGTCTTGTTCCCAGTCCACCCTGTCCCAGTATCCATTACCTTAGTCATACCTTACTAATACTTGTCTTACCAATCATCTTAGCAATCTTTGTGAGACCAGCATTACTGGTCTCTGTACTATAGCTACTTCTAGTATATAAGCTCTTAGATACTTGGCCTGTACTCCCAGTCTGAAATCAAATAAGTTCTGTCTGTAATTCTTGGCCTCAGACTTGGACTGAAACCCACACAAGGGAATAGTGCTGTAATCTCAGCTGCTAAGTCCAATCAGTCCACCACCTGTATCTCTGCCCCTTCCCCCTGGTCCCAACCCCTCAGCCTCATGCCTGCTTTGGTCTCTGGTCCAGCCTCAACCCAGACACCATGAACTTGACATCCACATCTGAGTGGAAGGGAACTTGGGGGGATGGTGAACACCAGCTTCACTGATCCAGAGTGCATGGACAGACAGCCAATTGATGAGATATGTTTTCTTTCACTCCAGAGTTGTGGTGTTGACAAAAAGTGTCAGCTTTGGAAATCAATAGCCTGGGTCAATGAAGCCAGACTTGACTGCAAATCTTTGGAAGCTCTCTTCCAAGCTGACTCAAAAAGGCTGTGTGCCTGTGGAATTTCAGGGTGTTCAGGCTCATCCCATCTTCCCTGTCCACCTGTTGATCATTGGGGGGGTGATGCTACCACTTGGTTAGCAATGAGACAAGCAAAATACAAATGGTTACACACCTCTAGAAGGGCCACCACTGACAACTTGTCTTGCAGTTCTGGTCTGCTTTGTGGTGGACTGCCTGCCAGTACTTGAGGATGTATTTGACAAGGATGGATATGTGGCAGCAGGTAGGGCAGGTGTGGACTCTGGCTCTTCTGCAAAGGAGCCTTCATAGCTACAGCAAGTATGGAAGAATTTGAAATGGCTTAGCTATCCCATTTTCTGTATACATGGCCTTAACAATATGGTTGGCATATGTGATCCACACAAGTTGGACAATGTTCATGGTTGGAGGGATGAATGCTTCCCTGCAATACAACCAAACAGGTACCCCTACAAAATATAGTGACTCACATACTTGGGTATCTTTTATGAAGCACCCCATCCAGATCAGATTGATGCACACAGGACATGAGGGTGGGTTTAGGAGAAGTGGATGAAGAACTTTGATGAAGTTGAGGATGGTGTGAATGTCAAGTAATGTACACTGCAGCTGGCCAACAAACAACAAGATCATGATATAGGAGGGGGTGGTGCTGCAAGCACATCACCTGGTGCTGAGCCAAGTGGACCCAGATGTGCATGACTTCCTGTTCAATGGGTCTGTCTCAGAGCTTGTGATAGCAGCTTTGCAAGGCTTGAAGTACATCCTCAAAATCCTTGACTTTCCCCTCCTGAAGGGTGCCTACTGCAAACCTGGAGCTGGTTGGAATAATGAAGTCACTGGGAGTAAGAGTGTCCCACACAATACCAAGAGTGGGGAGTGTGTCCTTTTGGGGAACACACATTGAATATTCATATTCCTTCTTGTATGTTTGGGGCCATTGAAAGCAGTTGACCAGCCCAAACTGACTGTCAGCTCAGCATTGAAGGTCCTGGTTGTCAAAAATGTGTGGGTTGGGGACATAATCTGCATTTGGCAACATTATTACCTAGCCATCCTTGCATGCCACTGCCCATGCATCAAGTGAGGCAATTGTAGCTGTGAATATAAGTTATCTGTTGCCATCCACCAAACAAAACAAAAAGACAATGCAATGTACTGTTGTTGGACTGGGTGTAGGGTTTAAACCAGGAGAGGGCAGTGGCCATGGAGAAATTGAAGAAGCCTTTGTGGTCAAGAGATACAAGAATAATTAGTGAATGGTAGGATTAGTATGAGGACTAAGGAATGGGATCTTTCTGTGAACTAACCTTAGGCTAAGGACAGGCAGAAGGGGCAGTGGCTGAAGAAAGGGATCTAGTACACTCCTCAAGGTCTTCAACCCCACTGGCATGCAATACAAGGTGGTGCCAGGGTGACCTCAGTGGCACAAAGTCAACAGAGTGTGACCTGAAGCAACACAAAGTCAACTCCAGATCCATGAGTGGCACAAAGCCAACTCAAAATCCAGTCATAGAGTGGAGGGGGCAGGGAATGTGTGAGGAGGAGGCCAGGAGTTGGAGTGACAGGTCAACAAGGCTAGAGTGACTTCAGTAGGACTCTGTGACAGTGATGCTAGTGAGTATGATTGTGTACTTACAAGTGTGAGTTTGAGTTTATTTGGTCATCTCTTTTGATTTATTAGAGTCATGTGATTGACTTGGAGAATTCCCAGGGCAAAAATACCTAAGTCATCCCACACTTCCCCATGGCCTCTGCATGGTTCCCTCATGATTTACCCACTCTCAGCATCATCTCCACCTTGAGAACAAGACTCTCAGCTGCCCTTTCCACCTGCCTTGGTTTGTTATAAAGTGTCATGATATCATTGCTTATGACATTTCCCCTAGTAGATCAAGATTCAACCCTCCTATGGACTGTTATTGAGCTGGCTTTGTGCTGCTCACAGATCTGGAGTTGACTTTGCATCACTGAGGTTGCCCTGGCACCACCTTGTATCGCATGCCAGTGGGATTGAAGACCTCAAGGAGTGTACTCCATTGGATCTCATTCCAGCTATCCCTCCCTACTCATTCTGTCTGATCACCACTCACTTCATTCTCCTCAGGCCCTCATCACCATGAATAGATAAGTATTGTTGCTTATATCCTTCTGAATTGCATGCTGATAAGTTATCCAGATGAGTCTGTTATATGTTTATTTGTACTCATTCCATTTTATCCTCGCCATGTTATATCAGGGATTTAGGTATGTGTTCATAACTCCCTCACCAGCCTTTTAGTCACTCATGCTGGAAACACTATGTTTCTGTGGTTTGACATGTTCTCATCATCTCATGGTATCCAATGACACTTATACTTGCCAAATCAAACACTTTCTGCTGGTGATGCCAATCGAGTGATGCGGCAGTTCATTACAGATTACAGAAGCCCCTAGATCAAGACTCACTGGTCCTCCTCACTCTCATATCAGAACCTAATGTATGTATTTGTATTAATTTCTTCCCAACTCCAACTTTTTACTCACTCTAGATCATGAATCACTTGCTGTTCTCCCATCAAGTTTACTTTGGTATTTACATCAATACCTTCTACCTGTCATATCCATGACTCTCAGACTCAATCCCAGTCCAGTCCGGACCCCTAGCCCCTAACTCCAGACAAGTCTGGTCCTAGTCTGGCCTAGAAAACCCAACTCTGGCCCTAGATAACCCAACTCCAGCCTGAATAACTCAAGTCCAGTGTTTTACCCCTATCTCTGGTCCACTCCAGCCTCCCAGCCTTGCACTGCTCCACCCTGGTCCTCCCAGATCCATGTCTGGGTCACCTGGACATAACTCCAGTCTGTTTTCCTTTGTTAGTACTATATTTAGTCTAGTCCCCTTTGCTGATCTTGCTTACTGTACAAACCTGTGTCCAACCCTGGTTATGCTGGTCACCTGGACTTTGACTATTAGTCTCAGCACAGTCTCTGTGGCTATCCTCTTGCTAATCATCTTTCTAATAGCTTATCAACAAGTCTGGCTCTATGTTTATTATCCCAGACTGGCCTCATGTATTTAACCCCTGTACATACTTCATAGCACCCTCAGTCAGAATATCAATTTAGTATTACCCTCAACTCCATATTACCCCTTGAGTCTACTCTATAGCTAAGGCCAAGCCTTAAGCTATCCCCAGCCCCTGCCCTGGACCTCTCCCCAGCTTGCATAAGGGTACAGCACATAAGTGGAGACCAAGGGAGGTAGATCCAACCCAAGACTGGCTTCCCCCTGTGCACACTCCAAGACTGGTCAGTTTCCCATGCTACCAGCCTTGTTCCCATGCTCCCAGCCTTAAGTCTGGTCCTCCAGACTTAGCCCCTGACCTCTGGCCTTAACTCCAGTCCAACTGGACTTGGCCCCTGTCCCCCAGCCTTGACTTTGGCCACCTGGACTTGGCCCCTGTCACCCAGTCTTGAAGCCTGGTCACCTGAGGGTAAACCTGTACTTGACACTACCACTTTTTAGTCACTCATACTAGACAACTCCCCTTGATCAAGAGTTGCTAGCCCTCATCCCACCATGTTTACTTTTTGCCACTCACTGATTTGAATAAACTGCCCCAGCATCACATTGTATTGAGCACCAAATGACACTGTAGGCTTCAAAGAGTGTGTGGGTATCTTTCCTCCTTGCCCATTCTTCACACCTATGCAGTATGGCCATTATTGGACATACATATCAGATTGGCACACACTGTTAGATTTTATTCTGCTGACCTTATGTTGGTTTCATGATAGCTTCCCTGACCCACAAGGCCTGAATGATCCGAGCATAGGAGGAACTGGAGGGGATGTGCTTATCCCCTTTGCTCTCCCTCCATTTCTCATTCCATCGACCCTGTGTCAGTTCTGTGATAGCTTCCCTGATCTAAAATGCCATAACAATCCAAGCCAGCAGGAAGTGAAGGCTATGCTCATCTCCTCTCCCTCCCTCCCTCCATTTCCTACCACAATGGTGTCCAATGCTATATTTTATTCCATTGACTCTATTTCAGGTTCATGATATCTCCCTTGACCCACAAGGCCAGAACATACTAGTTAAGTGGAAGCACACCTGTCTCCTCTCATCCATCCATTTGGTGTTATGACCACATGCCCACTGTCACATTTTTTATTCTGGCCCACTGTTTTGGTAGCTAGGAAGAAGCAAGGGTGCTAGTGCAAATCAGGTTTGTGAATCTTGTTGCTTGACAACATAAATTGCCCACTCACTTGGGTTTTGTCCTCAAAACTTCCCACTTTCCTTTCACCACAGTCATTCCTTTGTTTCCATCTTTTCCATTGGGTGATACCTTGCTTGAATTTGTTTCTGCAAGTTTGTTGGGTAACTTTGTGTCCCCAGATATTTGCTGCTTGACTATGTGTCTGCTGTGAGATCCTTGGCATGCCTCCAAAAAAATTGCATGCCAATGTCCCCATGAAAATTGGTCCTCCTGTTGGTGTTAGAAAGTCAAAGAGAATCAAGGCGACCTCCTCACTAACCAAGGTACAACCCAGGTGGCATGTAAAGTCCTGCCATCAAATCATTAAACATTAGTATTAGATTGTTGCCTTTGCTTTTATGCTGGCACTGATGCAGTTTCTCATAGCATCAAGTGGAAATCACAATAACACTCCTGTTGTCAGTGCATCCCCTTCAATTCCCTTGCCTACATTTCCTATACTGACATGGACACAGCCCAGAACTGAACTGCTCCCAGATGATGATGGTGAAGATAGTCGCATTGTACATATTTTTTTAATTTTGATTTTGATTGGCTTGTGGACCCTTCTTCCAGGATGGTGACAGCCAAGCAGCCAGGCATGAATCCATCAAGCCATGTCTATGGCATCCCTCACAAGCCTCACAAGCCATGACAGATCAAGGGAAGGAGGAACAGTACCTTGACTCCTTCCACACCAAGATCATCACACTCACAAGTGGTAAACAACTTGATTCCCATGTGGCCCTGCAGTTGCTCTGTCCAGTGCCATCTCAAGGCAGGATGTGACTAAGAAGAAACCTACTCATCACTTTGCCAAGTTCACTGGAGCATCTCCTGTGGGGCTGGACAATGAGGAGAATCCATTCAATGCTGAACAAAGCTCACAAAGTTTCAAATGTGGTAGGCTCCCCTTGGAGGTGATAAGAAAGGCTCAAGCACTTGGTATGAAAACCACCCAGGAGGCCTGCACCATTGCAATACAATATGGCAAAACACTTGCATTGATTATGGCCACTGCTGGCCTTACTACCAAGGCAATGAGGGCTGAGTCAGTTTGGAATATGCACCAAGCATGGTTTGCACATACCAATCTGAAAACATCAGAGGGTTAGTGACTTACTTGTTGTCAATTTCTGTTAAATGCTAACTTAATTACAGAGGACATGCAGAGTTACTACAGCTGCCACACGCTGCATTATGGTGCTCACAAAGATGAAGAAGAATATCCAGAACTTTGGGATGAAATTTGTGAGTACTGGAAGGAGAGTGCAAGTGGGACAAAGGATATGAGCTCCAAGGTGATGGTAGGGCATGTGATGACCTGTGGAGATTCATTCACACAAGCTGTAAGTATCCCTGTGTTATCATTTATTCATGGATTAAATCCTTATGCAGGCACAGACATGGTGTAATGTCAGGGACATCCATGTATTTGGATGTGTAATCTACAGTGGCAATGATGAAGCTGCCTGCCAGGCTCTGGGCATCTTTGCTGGCTCTCCAATATGTATGGAGCTAGCAAGCGAGAGGCAGACAGACATCACAAGGCTGCTAGATTATCTGGCCACAATTGTGAAGTAAGTATGATTTATTGTGGCTATGATTAGCCTTGCCATATCTCATTTACTCTAGATATAAAATCCTCGATCCTGGTGTTTCAGTTGCATTACCTGACTTTGGGGCTCTATCATGAACAACATATGACCCAGTTTTCATGTTGAAATCCCAAGAATCCAGGCATGATCATAATCGCCAAGTTCTGCCTCAGGTCTTCTTGCACAAACTATGTAAGTGCTGGCCATGTATCTATGACTGAGCTGCTACCACATCTTCCTCACAGATGAAGTGGGTATCATGAGTGCACAGAGGAACACCCCATGGAAGTCTTTACTCAACCTTCTCTATATGCACCAGTACACCATTGTTAATTGGCCTGCTGCTGTCTCCACTGTTGGCCCAGATTTCAATATCAAGGGCCTCAGTGCTGACAAGCTCTGTGCTTTGACTGTCCCTTTTTTAAAGGAACAAATGGGTGCTGACTTCCATTCTGAGGTCCATGTAGAGGATGAGGGTGATGATTCCTTGGTGCCAGTACCCATGGCATCATTTGATCTCAGGGAGTGGACACCTGGTGAGTTTGAGAAATTCTACATAATCATATGGACTCTGACTTGAATAATCCAGAGCAGAAGGAGCTATTTAAGATGGTTAGCCCAGAGATGTTCGAAATCCTGCTGCTAGTAAATACATTTAATCAACCCCTTTGTATTCTTTCAGATTTGCGAGCCTTCATTAAACCAATTCCAAAAAGCATGGGCCCCTCTGACTCAGAAAGGACACCCTTGCCACTTCCTCCACCATCACCCCCTGTTGAAGATTCACTGCAGTCACTTGTGTGTGGTAGTATGGGAGTGAATGCACCTGCAGACTATCATCATTCCACTCGCCCCTCCTCACCCATGACTGATGTGCCACAACAGGTGCCTGCATGAGGCCATGCACTAGCCAATGCACTGGGGGTTTGCCATGTGCATTGTCACTCTCCAGTAGGCTGTCATTCTCTTCACCATTCCACAGCACCAGATGAAGAGTCATGCCATGTGCATCATCACTCTCCAGTAGGCTGGCATTTGCTTCACCATTCCACATCCCCAGATGAAGAGTCACAGCAGCTCCATGTGTGAGGTGTCTGGCACACATGTCATGCCAATCAAGCAGCATCCCACCCATCTACATCCTATAGCACTAGGCACTCCCACAGTCACTCTCAGACTCCACATCCTTGGCACTGCTCCTGGCAGGCATCTCACAAGTCTCATAGGGAATATCAGGTGAATTCAAGTGATGATGATTTGCCACACTTGCAACAGAGAACCCACCACAGGTATATCCACATCATTGTGTTCTGCATTTTGTAACTAACAATTACTAGTGTTGTCCAGTACATCTATTGGGAGCCTCCATGTAAGAGGCATCATCACCATGATTCCAACAAAGAAGATCACCATGTGGTGCAGTAAGCACACTAAGCAGGTAGGTTGTGTTTCACTCATTGTCTTGTATTGTCAGAAAATCACACAACACCCCTGACTTCCTCTTAGGGCGGAGTAGGAGCAGGTTGGGCTGTGGAGTACAGCAGTCAAAGTCCAAAGCAAATCTGACCACTGGGTGATGAGATATTCAATGAACAGTGAGTGGAGGGGTATGGAGGAAAGTTTTGGAGGCAGAGGTCAGAGTCAGAGTCAGAGGTCAGAGGTCAGAGGTCAGATGAGAGGGTGTTGGGTTCAGCTAGTGTGCTGCCCCTTTGCACAAGCTCAGCCCTTGTATTTCAGAGGTGGAGCAGACTCAGAGGGAGTGGAGACAAAACTCCAGAGGGAACTGAGAGGGAGTCAAAGGTGGGGACTTTATTTGATATTTGTACTGATTACATTGGAGTACTACATGGCCTTATATACAACATAGGTCAAGGGTGGTGCAGTGCAGAATGCAAACCAATAAGTGTATAACAGGTTAGCAGTCCCTCCAACACAAGGGATAGAGGGTAGGGATGATGGGGACCTTAACTGAGACAAAGAAACTACTACAATGAGGAAGAGAGGGTAAATACTGAAAGAGTGGAAGAACAGAGAAAAACTGACATGAGGGCAGAACCCTATCTGGAATGCAGGGCTGCAAGTCCAACAGCTCACTGGGCTGACAAGGCCTTGGAGGAAGCACAGATGAAGGTCTGGCCTCCACATGACTAGCCTGAGGGCGGAGTTGAGTGGAGTTGGTCAGAAAACAGACAGGGGACCTTGGAGAGGTGTCAGGAGGGTCGGAGGAGCGTGGGAATGCGTCGGAAGAGGGCGGAGTAGGTGTTAGGGGCTTATGTTGGTGTCATGGTCATGACATATGAATCTTATGTTTGGATGATTGGCCCTCATAGTCTTATACCATTATTCACCACCTATGCAATTATTTGGCTGACATTCCTTGCAACTCCATCTTTTGCCCTTGCCCTTTCTCACTGTGGTGCCCCATCACTGGCCACGTATCTGGACCAGTGTTATACCTTGCCACATGTTAGTTACCTATCATTTGGTCATTCTCAATTAATAATTGAACATCATCAGATTTACCCACTGGGCCCTTTGTTTCCATTATTACTCACTTCCACATACTAGCTACCTTCATAGACTGGTATTATATCCTCTTGGACTGCTTTATGGACTAGGTACCACCTGTGTGCACATTGTTAGATACCTATTTGTCCTTAGCTATAAATGACAGTGATTTTTGTGATATTGATATGAATCTGAAGGAACAAATAAGGAACACATGCACTTGATCAGATGTTAGGAGTGCCAGACACATATGCACTTGGAGATTCCCCATGCTAACTGGGAGAATCCACACACCTGCTTGGAGATTCTCCCAACCTACTTGGAGATTCCCCCAACTGATTTGGAGAATCTCCACACCTGCTTGGGGATTCCCCCAACTGACTTGGAGATTCCCCCCATCCACTTGGAGATTCTCCACACCCACTTGGAGATTCTCCACACCTGCTTGGAGATTCTCCCAACCCACTTGGAGAATGATACACAGAAGCTCACAAAGTACTCATGGTCCAAGCACAGGCAAGATTGACAGCAGAAATGAGATCCATTGTGTGATTGAGAACAGCCTTATGGTCTGTGCCATCATTGGAACAGTTGTTGCTTGTACCCCAAAGATTGATCAATGCTAGGGGAAGATAAACCTTAATCAGTGAGTGCCATTGATCTGCCTTGATAGTGCCAGTGGACACATCACCAAAATTGCTGGGAACAGAGCCTAACCATGATGGTGTCACAATGTCATGAATAACTTTGCAAACTTGATCCAACAGGTCTGACTTGGTGAACTTGCCAGGTTGGTGCTGTAATGCAGACAAGGGCATCTGCAGCCATGGAGTATACATTGCATCAGCTGCAGGACATGTAGTAAGATCAGGAACAACTTACCCAAGCAATAAGCACCTTGGCATAATCAGCTTTGAGAACTTTTACCACTCTTTGAGGGAACACACCCTAAGCTTTGGCAAACAAATTTCAGAGGGCAAGCATTTTTGTGGACTAGTGACTCCCACAAGTCAATCATGAAGGACTCAACAGCTTTGTTGTCATCATATGATGGGACCAGTGAAACAAGAAGCTTGTGAAGTGCCAAGACTTGTGTGATCTCCTTTGTTGTCATAGACAGCGCCTTGGGGGTACCAGGGACAACCAACTTAAACTCATAGTGAAATGCAGGAATTATGGAGTGCACAGTGGAAGAAGTCTCTGTGGTTAACCCAAGTAGGCTGCACACATGATGTTGAACAAGTCCCTCAAGTATACAATGCATTGAATCTATGATGAGTTGGCAAGTGGGGTCCCAATATGGCAAATGCCACAGTTCTGAGTAGCAAACACCATAGTCCTTGAATATCCTGTCATGTGCAGAAGACATATGTGCATCCCTCCATTCCTCTGCATATTGGTGGAGCTTGTCTTTGTCACCTGCCATCCAGTTGTCGAAGTCTGTCTGACTGTAATTTGTCTTGTGGCAGCAGCTGCAAACAGTGCAGAAGAAGTGACTCCCAATTCCAGCAAAAGTGGCAAGGTGGTGAGAGGCAGGGAGATCACAGACAACAAGGGTGATGGCACTGCATGTAACTCTGATTAATATTTTCAAGTGATGGCTGTTTGGGGCCTGGAATAATGCCAGCAAAATATGGTGCTGTTCAACCTGTGAATGCAAAGTCTAAGTTTTCGACTTCAGCTTTGGTTAAGAGGTTCCTGTCATGTGAACTATCATATGCATCCACCTGAGGTATGCAACCATTGTCACCCAGTTACTGTGATCATCAAATGTCTGGCTCATCTGTGGGATCAACCTGCTCATTGTGCTTGCATGGCCTTACAATCAATCCTCTAGACCCATAGAACCCCCTGCCTCCCCCCAGGACTTGCAAGAAAGCTGCAGTATGGACAACAGAGGAGGAAGGCATGTTACTGGATTTCTTGGCCTCTCATCTTTCACAGGCCAGTGATGGGAACTTTAAGAAGGCTACATGGAATGCCACAGCAGCCCACATGGCTCATAATTATCTACTGGGTCTGGATAATGGCAATAAGACAGCTGAATCATGTGAGCAGAAGTTCAAGGTGGTAAGTTGTCATATCATTCTTTTTTTTTGCCTTGCTAACAATTATCCAGCTTAAAAAATCCTACTATGCCATCACCAATCTTAAATCAGTGGCCTCTGGCTTTGCTTATGATGATGAGCATGGTGCAATGGTCTTGCTGGACAACACTGATCTTTGCAATCGGTATGTAAAGGTAATGTAGTTTTTTTCTTGTCAGATCATCCACTAATGTCTAGTCAGGCACACAAAGACATGAAGCCATTTCACAATTCTGGGTTCCCCCACTTCACCAGCATAGAGCTCCTTCTCCCCTCACATGGCCAAGGTCAGTTTATCCACTGGCCACATGCCACTACCATGCCTTCTACAATCATGACCTCTGCCTTCAATACTCCTGCCTCTACTGCACCCCCTGCCACTTTGACTATTCCTACCCCCCCTCCCTCCCTCTCCCTCCTTGACATGACACATGCTCTCAATGCTCACCATCGCAAGGACACACAGTCCATGGATCCAAACTTCATCCCCCCTTCTGCACCATCAAGTTTTTTGTCACATGTGTCAGCTGGGTTGTTGTTGTCATCAGCCATCACCAGCATCAGTCACAGAAAAAGGAAAGCTGAGTCCGTTGCAATGTCTGAAGGTGGATCAAAGCACTCTCAGCCCCCATCAGCCAAAGCACATGCTGAAGAAGATCACAGTTCATTCATCACCACCATCACCTCCAGGCTCAATAACTTCACACATGCAATTGCTGCCCCATTTCCCCTGCCACCTGTTACCAATCCCCTCATCAATGCTGCCATGGACTGCATCAACAACATGCTGCAGCTCTTGACAGATGATCAGATCAACATCAGCGACTACTTCCTCAGCATGTCTCCAGATGAAGTGAATATTTTCCTCAAGCATCAGGAGCCAGTGAAGCAGATTTGGGTGCAGCATTGGCTGATGAAGTACCAGGATGGGCAGAGATAGGTGTTTGTTTTTGTTTTTTTTTTACCATATACAAATGTCCCCCCCCCCCTTTATACAAATATGTACATAATAAAATGTACATGACTATGACTAGCTTCCTTTTGACAATGGAAGTTATTTTTCTACATGAGTGTGAAACAATTGTAAGAACATATATTTGTACACCATGAAATCTGAATGTTCAGGCTCAGAGAAGGCCCCTAATTGTAAGCTGGTGCTGATAGTCAATCCACATCTCCTCTGCAATGTTGTCACACTTATTATCAGCCCTTCTCCTCTCTGCAGCATCTGCTGGTCCATCACCAAGGCCTCCAATACCATCACCCTCTCCTATGTCCATGGCAAGTTCAGGGTCAAAGAACTCTTCTGGATCATAGTGCCATATGAAATTGTGGAGGGCACAGAGAGCAGCAGGTACTTGAGTTTGGGTGTGGATGCTATATTCAGGGGGAATTTGAAGAATCCTCCATCTGTGTTTTATAACACCAAATATCCATTCAATGGCATTTCTAAGTCCAGCATGGCAAAGGTTGAATAACTCCTCTCAGTTTTGAGGTCTATAAAATAGAAGTTACAGGTACACTGAGCAGGATGGAATAGCAACTTACCTTAATCCAGCCTGGTGCCATTCTTTCAGATGGTAATGAACACCTCAATAGGGAACCAGAAGTGCATCACAGGTCCCAATCCCTGCATCTGCAAGAAGGTACTTCCCAGGTGGCATGTGCAAGTCATTCCTGTGTGCATCATGCCACATGGTCGCATCTGCAGTTGACCCATCAAAGCCAGTGAGGGCATATGTGAAGAAGAAGTCAAAATCACAGATGAAGAGACAGTTTTGAGATAGGTAGCCCTTCCAGTTCCTCATGTAAGGCTGGTCCTCAGCAGCAGTGAATGCTCAAATATGAGTGCCATCAACTGCACCAATACAATCCTGGAAAAATCAGAAACATGGGTCACTAGTAATCATATTTGATATGGGAGTGTTGTTGGTGGGGAATTGCACTTGGGATGCATAAAATTGTCCCCCAGAAAAGAAAGCCAACATTGCTTTGAAATATCTAAAAATTGTGAGAAAAATATCAGACAGTCCAATGAACTCCCTACATAGTGATGGTCCCTGGTGAGTGTTGGAACCTCTCAGCAACATGCTGGGATGACAACCCAGTAACACAGGTGTAGAGGAATATCCCAAGTTGTTCCTCCACAGAAATTCCATTGTGAGAAGGCACAAAACCATGATGGGTGAGCACCTGCATCAGGTGATCAAAAACCCCATGGCTGACACCAAGGCAAGTCCATATCCTGTCTGGATGACCATTCAGGAGCTCTAGCATCCACCCCTCACCAGTCAGGATTGAGGTATGGTAGGGGATTGGTTCTGAGTCAGAATGAAAAAGGAGGTCATAGAGGCATAGCACGTGGATCATCACTGCTACTACAAGTGCAGCAAGATGGTGACAATGATGGTGCTGGAGCTGCTGTGCTTCAAGATCCATAGCAGAGTTGTTTGATCTGTTATCACAATGTTATCTATTGAACTACAAGTATGACTACATTACTGAAGCAGAAGCCTGAAACTTGGACTTTGCATTCATGCAGGCATGCACAGCTTATATAATCATCACGTGACTACATTGCCAAAGTCAAAGTCAAAAACTTTGACTTTGACTTTGGAGGGTGAATGGTGCCTAAAGATTTTCCAGCTTGTACCTCACATCCAAAGGCAGATCGAGACATGCCACTGAAATGATCCCAGATGACATGCTTGGTCCCCATACACTCATACCTCCAGGGTTGAAGAAATCCACATAAAGCACAAATGCATATCAACCTTCACCTCCATGATCAACAAAGCACTTCCCAGGCACATGGAACTCTTGAAGGAACTGGGCTTCAAATGGGTTCTCCACAAAGCATGGTGGCAAGGATGAGGCATGTAAATCATCACATGCAGAGTCCATTGCTGCCTCAGTATCTGGTTGAGACAGTAGTGTTCTGAGGTAGTCTTTGAAGTTGTGGCAGACAAACACCTTCTTTGGGTAAGCATTCCCCTCAGCTCATGTATTGAGTAACAGCTCGCCACATTGCTTCTCCAGTGAAGGGAAATGAGTGCAGAAGGAAGGATAAGTGGGGACATCCAATCTGAGTGAAAAGGTGGGAGCATAGAGGCAATGGCAGCTGCAGACAGCATACATCACTGTCTTGGCTGCAAGGTGGAACCTGGACAAGACACTACTGATGGCCAACAGTACTTGCTTCAGTACAGTCTCATGTGAATGACTCAGTGTCCCATCTGGCTTCCAAAAGGCAAGGTATAGCAAGAGGGAAAGTCTGTTCATAATAAAGTTAGCACCTGGAGTGCCAACACCAAAGATTATACTGCACATGACTCCTAGCAATAGTGCAACTTGGGCAATCACATCCATTCACTCAATTGGTGGTGAGTACTGCTTCCCTGTATAATCAAACATCAGCAATGGTAAAAATCATGACATCCAGATACTTGCCTGTGTCAATCTCAACTGGATCTTGAGGCAAAGGTGTAGGCACCCATTCATTTGCCTGGGATTGGACCTCATCCAACAATGCAGATAAAGCCTTTTTGCATGTAGCCACCAACTCTGTGGAATGAGTAACCCAATCAACTGCTTTGCATAGAACAACAAGTTCATGCTGGACATCAAGAGAGCTGAGGTCTGACCTGAAAATTTCTCCTGATGTCAAAACATGTTCTGTTGGGTACTAGGTGCCCAATGCAAGGCATCTGAATTTTCTGACCAGGCAAACCAGAGCTAGGGTGAGCTTCGCATCCCTGTCAGCTACAGAAATAGTAGTCAGAGACCTACTCATCTCTGTAGCAGCTTTCCTAGTACTGGTGATTTTTTATTATACTACTTAATTCAAATATTCAACAATGGCTTGCTTGAATTTCAATGGTCCACATGACATGAAGCAAACCCAGGACCATTGTCAGTGCATCTGATTTCAACCCTTCATTCAGAGTGAAGCCCCATTGTTACAGTGGTCATCAATAGACAATATTTCAGTATCAGGGTATATACATAACATGACAAGCTACATTTACAACTAGATCACTGATTCTCCAGCATAGTCCTCCTTCCAATGTTCAAGCCTCCTCCAGCTCCCAGTGATGACTCCATCACTCCCACTCATGCTGTCAGTCCCAGTCATGCTGTGTCTGGCTTGTACATCCCCAATAATTTGCTTGACCTCACTGATTTGCTGTGCAATGTCCCAAAGCATGTCTATGTCACCCTCCCCACTGTAAGGAACTGCAGATGTGGGTTTGACATGGAAGAGGCAGGATAGGTCAATGGTAAATACATTCAGCCAGTGTGGGACAAACAGATGGTCCATTGTCCACACACCCAGTTCAATCTGTTCCTGAGAATCAATATGTAATATCTTTTGTATGGTAGTGTACTCACA